CCACCTCCCCCCCCGGGGCGGGGGCGCAAAGGGCCGAGTCCCTGGAGCGGCTGCCTCCGAGCCTCCGCTGCCCCCTGGGGGAGATCAGGCTCCAGCAGCAGCCGCCCCGGGAGTTTGGGGGTTTGTTTCCTTCCCCTCCCCCCTAAATATTTTGAGAAGCCTGCTGGATCAGAAAGGAGGACTCTTCAATTCGGGACGACAAGGGAGGCAGGAGCCTACTGGAGCAAGAAGTCCCTCCCGACAGCGTTTGGCAGGGTGAGTAGGGTGGCACGTGCCTGGTTCACACCCGCACCGAGCTTCAGCTTCCTTTCATAAAGGTGGACAAAGGTGCTGGGCCATCTTGTCTAGACTGTGCTCTTGCCTAGAAAGGTTGGACCAGATGATCCTTGAGGTCCCTTCCAACCTGGGATTCTATGGTGATACAGGCCATTAATAAAAGCTTTTAGTGTCAAAGCTGATAAATTAGTAGATATACACGATAGAGATGTTCTAAATTACAACCTAGGATCCAAAAGACTGTGGCTACAAGGAAGGTGAAGACTTAATACAGGGTTGTGACTAGAGCCAGATGATTTGCAGATAGGACTATTGAGGGCTGAGAAGCAACCTGGCGCTAGCCTCAGTGGAACTGAAGGGGTTTAAGCTGTGCCTTCAAACAAGCTGTGAAGGGACAGGTTTTGAAAGAAGCTTCTCTAGCCTGGCAACCCTCTCACCGCAGTTTGAGGACTGTTCCAATAACCATTCCAGTAACAGAAGATGGAGCTTGTGGAACCACTGGCCCACAGAGCCCTTGCCAAGTTGGCACTTAGGGACTAAGAGCTGACAAGGGTACCAGATACTTTTCTCTTGACGCTTTCCCAGTTTCTGACATACTTTCAGCCAAGGATTCGCTGCCCCTGTGATTTACCTATGTAATAACCCCCAGCTGCTCTCTTCCAGGTGCTTGCTCAGTCTCCACTTGAATCTGTGCACATTTCCTGAATCCACACCACCTTTTGGCAAGAGTCCCGCAGGTCCACCACCCTGCTCCTGAGAACACAGGCTTCATTCAGCTGGGTGAACAGAGGCTTTGGTTTCATCTTTCTAAGGCTTAGGCCTAAAGAAAGTTCTTTTAATTCCCTGCTGCTTCCAGCCAAGTGCTTCTAAAGACAGAGTAGCATTGCCCTGTAACAAGATACATAAAGTCAGCCAAATTAACAACTAAGGGAGAAGAGATAGGCAGATCCCTGCTCATTGTACAGATTTTTCTCAAGTATATAACGGTCTTTGTGATGCTAGACCATAAGGATGCCAGCCTTTGACTCACCATAACTTCTCCTCTAAAGGAACCAGTAACAGTCATAGAAAACTAGAAGCTAGAGTTTTTTTTAAATGGTTACGTGCCTGAAATACTTTTGCAAAGCCCCACTAAACTATAAACAAAAGGCCACTTGGTCAGTAAGTGCCATTAGCATGGGGTTATGTCATCATCATTGTGAAACAGAGACAAATCCTGCTCTAAAGACAGGTTTTGATGTATTTCAACTAACATTTGGATCATTCATGCTTAATGTTAATCACAGATAAATGGAGAGCAAGCAGGAAGAGGTATTGGCAGGCGTTCTCACTAACTTGAAAATTTGGCAATGAGGAAAAACCTAAGATGGAGCATAATGAAATTGTCAAGTAGGATGTAAGAACCTGAGGCTCACAATCCAAAAGGATGCTAAAAGCTTGGATAAAAAGTAGAGGACTCTCGGGCCAAGTTCAGGGATGCAGGCTGGAACAGATGTCTGTGAGAATTACATCAGAAACGATTGAGGGGGCAGAACTGGCACGGAGGAGCTCAGGCGTGGAGCAGCAGCAGGACCTTGGGTCTGGGCCAGAAATGCACAGCAAAGGTCACAGAAAGCACTGGGAACCCAACTGTGTGAAAGCTGGCTTTATTCTGACCGCGATGCCACAAAACCATGCTCCGTGTGCTGAACCCGTGGTCTCTCCTAGCGGTGCTTCCCGGTACGATTGAAGCGCCTGTACAAGTACCGGATCCTCTTGTTGAGTTTGTGGTAGTCCTCTACAAACATCCGATCTCCCACCACCTGCTTCTTGCGGATGCACCTCTGCAGCTCGTTCCCCCGCCAGCCTCGCAGCCACTGGGGCCCCACGATGAGGTTCTTCGGGTGGATCTGGAAGCCGCCTGAGAACAGGAGGGCAGAGCAGAGAGGATGAAGCCAGGCCTTGGAGAAGGCTGTTCCCAGGGCGGCTGGCCCCAATCCCCACCACCACCCTCTCGCTGCTGGAGGAGCCGCTCGCCTGCAGGTGGGTCTGCCCTCCCTCCCCTCCTGCCCTGGGGCCACAGCGGGGAGCCTTACCCAGGATCCCCACATTGTCGTAGACCCCGAATAAGGCCCGTTTTTTCGTCCACCGATCCACCTGCTTGGGCTTTGGGGGCTCCTTGATGCGGAAGGCTCGGGTGAGCCCTGCCA